CAACACCAAAACACCCAAAAACCACACCCCCTCCCCCCTACACCAAAAACCCCCCCAATCCCAACCGCCAACCCCCTTCAACCCCGAGAATCCTTTTCCCCCGAGCAAACCGGTAGCTTGTCCGTCTTCCATACCGGTATCCAATGGAACCACGGTATCCACCCTAGTACCCCTCCATACCGCACCCGCACCCACAAGTCCGCCCTGTCGCGCCCACCGGCTGAATCAGGAGAATATACGACAATCCACACGGTACGACGGGTGAGGGAGCGAGTTGGCTGACTTTGCCCACGGCAGGACCAGGAAGACCCATGTTTTTGTCTCATCCCGTGCATGTAGGAGTTACAATACCCGGCAAGACTGATGCGTACAGGGAAGCTAGAACGAACCAGAAAAAAAAGCTGGGGTATTCATTCACGGTGTTGGGCTGTACACACTAGAGGTCTGGGTATTCATTCACGGTGTTGGGCTGTACACACTAGAGGTCTGGGTATTCATTCACGGTGTTGGGCTGTACACACTAGAGGTCTGGGTATTCATTCACGGTGTTGGGCTGTACGCTGTACACACTAGAGGTCTATGGGGAAAAAAAAAAGTATACGATACTGTACACTATCTCTTGTCATCCATCATAGGATACAAGACCCACATCACAGATGGATGGTGCGATATCATGTGTGATACTACACTTCGATGCTCGAGTACACTTGCTCTACTCTACTCCATCCCCGTGGCAGCAAGGTAGGACTCGTGTGTCTGGCCTCCGGGACTGATCATCTTTGTGCTCATGGTCCGAGGCCGGGGGTGGGAAGGAAACTGGACGGGTGCTGGGGCTGGAGGATGGTCGTCTTTGCGTTTGGGATATTCATGGCATGGTGGCGTAGCGTACCAGAGCAGAGGATAGCACGGGGCGGGGGAGAGGGTGGGCGTGTGAGGAGGAGGGAAGCAGTGGGGCATGTAAACAGGATGCTAGACTCTTGATGCTTGTGACGCTGGTCTGGTCGCAAGCTCGAATGGTAAGCACTGCCAACTCGTTCATCCTTGACTAGTCATCAAGTACAGCAGCTCACCGTACCCAATCTTCCCCTACACCAGCCTCATCTTACGGTACTCGTCTACTCCAACACTCCTACCCGAAACCCATCCATCCAGCCCAGCCCAGCCCAGCCTACTCCTCCTCCCATTGGACCCTCCCCTCCCCTCACTCCCCGCTATTCGCAACCACAGATCTCCTCCTCTTCAATCTCCCAGCCTCCAATCTCACCCCACTCATCTTCTTCCTCCGCTTGCGAACCGCCAAAACAGGTGCAATATTGCGCGACCGTCTAGGTCCCTGCGGGGTCACACTATCATCGTCTGACTCCTCGACCACGCCGGTGCTGCGACTAGTAAAGAGGGCGTCATACCTGTTTGTGGATTCCTGCGTGCCTTGGGTGTCGGGGGGGAAGTAGTCGCCCTCTTCCTCTTCATCATCATCCACTTCGTCGGTTTGTCGCGAGTCTGCACCTTCGCATGTGTCGCTGTCGCTTGAGTCGCGGCTGCTGCGCCCGCGTGATGACTGTCCACTACGTACCTCTGACACGCGTGTCGAACCAGCGGGGAGAGTATGATGGCCTTGGACGGATTTCCGTGCTCGTTGTGGTCCGCCGCGGTTAGGCAGCGTGGTGGCGGTTGCGACTTGCACGCCCTGCGATTCCGCCAACCTTGCCGCTGTCTTCAACGCTTTTGCTTGTCTGGCTTTTTGTAGACCTGCTATCACCTTGGCACTTACGACTCTGGTCTTTACAGTGCTTGGCTCGCCGGGCACTGCTGAACTGGACGTTTTGCCCGTGTGTGACGCTCGAGCTTTGCCCCTCGGTTTCCGTGGGACGACGGCATTTTTGACGGCAACCACAGAGCCTTGAGCCTGTTTTGGCTGTTTGAATGTTGCCGTCAGGTCCTTTGGGTAATTGTAATTGAAGAAAAGCTCGGTGCCCGCTGGAATGTTGGTACTGGCAAACAGGCCTATACGATACACCTGATTACAGAGCAGGTTCTTTGGCGAGCAATTGGTGTACTTTTTGTCTGCGTTGTTGATGAAACGCAGCTTGTTACCCATGTAGGTGGCGTCTATATCTTGCTCTTTGAGTCACATCAGCGGATTGTACTCCGAAGCGGTACGCTCAATCAACTTACTCTTGTTGAGCCCAAACAGGTACATGGTCTGTTGATAACCGTAAATGGTCGACCGACGATTAGACTCTTGTACGGAGATGACTTCGCCCTTGTATTCGCCAATGAAATCATCCTTCTTGATGTCTTCGCCTGCATACAAGCCAAAGCCGTGAACTGTTGATTGACCGAGCAGTGTCTTGCGTGGTATACCTCTTTGCAGCGCGACATTCGAGCATCTGTCACGGAGCACGTCGTCACTGTACCTATTGACAGGATCGAGAATCTCTGTTGCGCCACACGTTCCACAGAGATCCGCATCGCATTCTCTCTCAAACTTGACGCATAGGCATTTGCGCATGTCTGCACAGATCTTCCCGTAGCCATGTGCGCAATTACAGCCAGGAAACCTTCGATTACATGAAGGCGAGCATTCGCAACTCTTCTCACACGTGATTACTTCCCGATAACACCGGCACTGTGCCTGGTCGCAACTTGTCCCAGGGTGTTTACATGGATAAAATGGTTTCCTTCTGTCCCACTTCAAGGTCGAGTAGTTATTTTGCCACCACTCCGCTCTAAAATTCCCCTCTGGTGGTTTGCGGCGCTTGATCGAATCAGAAACTTCTTTTGGTATATATTTTTGAGCTTCGGAGTTCATTGGAACTCTATAGCTGATGACTCGTTCGAGGTCAGAGTCACTGTCCCAATGAGCAGGCACGCGTGAGTCAACATCAGAATCGTCGGACGGCGAGGACTCATTCTGTTCGGGGCTGAGAACGTTTCGACGATCTTGGTCTTTGCTCGGTTCATCTTCGGCCTCGTTGTCACTTTGACTGCTGTGCTCACTCAAATCAAGGTCAAAGTCATCGTCAGGCACTTCGCGAATTTCGCCGTGGAAGAAACAGTTGTGTCTGTTCGCTTGCGTCAGTGATCATCTGCCAATACTGTGCACTAAACCTACTGGTGGCAAACTCGACAAACGGCTTGCCTATAGGACAGCCTTTGTTCAGATTGCGCGCCCTCGGTTTTCTTTTGTACGTATTCCTGGAAGAGGTCCGACTGTTTGGCCATGTACCAAAGGCTGAAGCTGCATTCCTCCAATACTGCTTCAGCAATGACTGCGGAAATCCTCATCTCCTCCGCTGTTATTGTGCTCAACTTGGAGAAGAAATCGCAGCATTTCTTGCTTGATCGGTCGAACAGGATAGAGATCTTCATCTCCCCATCTCTCTCAAACTCTTCGATGCTGTAACGACATCTATCAAGCACGAATGTCTCAAATTCTCGACAGCCGGCTACACTCCCGTTAATCTGCTCGACAGTTTGATCTGGCGCCAGTAGCCAATACACGATCGGTGCCCAGGTCATGCCAACTTCTTCGAGGAAACCTTCAATACTTCGTTTGTAAAATCGGCATTGCTCATTTCGCAGATCTAGAGGTCCTTTCGCATCGTGCTTCATCTCGTAGTGAATAGGAAGTTGTTCTACGAGCTTGCCACGGCTCTCGTCTGTTTCATCTGGAATCAGTGGAGTGGCGAGTAGCTTGGACTCGTTGTCCGCAAGTAGATTGGTGTTCAAACTAATGTATTCTTTGAAAGGTGGCACAATAGTTGCATTGAATGTATAGATTGTCGGAGGGCATGTCCAAGATGAAATCACAGCTGTATTTGGCTTAGCTTTGGTGAAGGTGTCCTGCGTGATCAATCTGCCCTTTGCAGTGTTTGGGCTTTTGTCATGACGAATCTGTACCACTGGCATATCTTTGAAAGGGGAAACATGCTGCATGTGGTTGCCCATTTGAGTGGGCTTTCTTAGATGAGTGCGCTGGGTGTGGCTTTCCGCCTCTTGACACGTCCTTTGGCGCCACAGTACCGACGAGGTCATATATGCGTGAGCTTCAAAGCGCGTCTGCAGATGACGCTGAAGACACTTCTTCACCGCTAAGCGCGCTCGTTCGATATCATCCGTGGGAATCATCAATCTTGGCACAGGCGAATCCTGGCATGAAGGTTGATTTCCATCACCCTGGTTAGGCATTGCAAGTGGCTGTTCAGCTGCACTTTTCATGGTTACTGGAGCTGTGGTATCATTGAGTCCGCTAGGTTCTGCTGTGATAGAAGGTGACGTTGTTGAAGCGAAAGGTTGTGGTGGAGACTGTGCCTTTGGTTCGACACGATTTGGAATATCAGGAGTTGCTTCCTTTGCTGATGTCTGAGGGGATGCCCCTAAGGAGAATGCAATTTTGTTTTTCAAACGCCGTGGTTTTGACCATCTCTCGTCTCGTGGAGTCACCGTTTTCCTGGCCCGCTGTCTTTCGTTGATCATGGTAGCACTCCGAGAACGCGAACTTTGTCCAGAGTCTTCCCAGGTTGGCGTAGTGTTGCACAATCCATTGCTGAGCTGCCTTCTTCCCACACCAAAGTAAGGGCTTGGTGGTGGTGGGGCCGCCGCAAGGTCTTTAGGAATGTTCGATGTTGATGGCTCCTTGCCATTTGTGCTCCCGGCACCTTGAGCAACCAGGTTGGTTGGCGAGTTCTGAGACTGCGTTCCATGATATTTGATTGCTGATGAACGTGGGACCTGCGAGACTGGGGGTCCATCATCGCTCGTATTGATTGCAGGGTGGGATGTGATACTAGAAGGATTCCTCCTTGACACGTCCTGCCCTTCTGGAAGACGGCTTCCCGGTGCGGTGTCTGGAGCTCGTAGACGCTGTTCAGCCTTGTTTCGTGCCTCGATCCAGCCGTTCGCAGAGAAAGCTTCTACAACGTCATCGTCATCCGAGTCAACATTGACAATGGCAACGCTGAGGGGAATAGGACTGCGAGGCCGTCTAAATGGCCTAGGCTCAGAATATTCGGGGGTGGGAATGTCTATTGTCTGTACGCCATCTATGTCGAGAGGGTTATCTCGCGTGCCCCGGCCACGCATGTAGGCCATATTTGTGTCACCAGAAAGAGCAAGACGAGCTTCAAAAGTGCACAATCCTTGTTGTGTACAGTCGTCCCGGATGGATAAGTTCAGGGTGAGAGGTCGAGAGTGGAATCATCCATGCTTTGAACCTACTTCTCTCAATACGACCACCCAATTCGTATAGGAAATAGAGCGGCGCAGAATACGTCAAGGAGAGTCGAGAGTGCCAGAGACCGAGAGAGGGCCTGGATGAAGCCGCTCTCTTCAACGCCGTTGGGCCAAAAAACGCGTAGTCACGTGCACAAGAGCGGGGGAACCTCCGATTCCTACCGTATCTGGGGAAAACACAGCATGGCTCTCTGGCGGTAGTGTGGGCCCCGAGGAAGCTGTGCATTAATATCAAATATTCATATCACGAGGCTGATCCATCTTGAGCGAGAGTAGTGAGATCAGCTCTGATCAAAGTAGGTACTTTGCTTGAAGTGAAGTGGGGAGAGGACGCACAGGGGTGTTGGAGTGGGCGGGCTTGGCATTGCCGATGCGTTGCTCTCGTGTTGTTTACTTTGGCTTTCCATCCCAAACACAGACCTTGACACATGACAGCCTACAGCCTACGACGCAAACAACATGGCGCATTCTGAGGGCAAGGAAAATATCGCAGATGGCCTGATGGCAAACACATCCTTCAAGGCGCCGGCAACATTGTCGCCTAAAAAAACGGCGCGCAAGTCGCGCAGCAAAAGCATCGGCCCTGGTGGGCTTGGGGAGTTGGAGGCGCCCGCTCTCAAAGAAAGCGCAGGCAACCGTAGAAAGGTACGTTGGAATTGGGAATCGTAGAGGCAGAGACTTCGTGCATTACTGACTGAGAAAGTCTGCCTTCATTCCGGCCGTCAAGTCGATCCTATCGTCCAATGATGAAGACGAGAAGAAGAGGAAAGAGGCACGTCGCAAATCACTGGCCCGCCGACGCGTTTCTTTCGCCCCAGAAGCGACTCTGCACACTTGGGATGTTGTCGAATACATGCGTGATGCAACCAGCTCGTCCGCCTCGTCCGACGCCACGCGACGAGCCTCCAATGTCTCCCAGGCGTCCACACCCGCATCGCCTGCACCCGCCTCCGATCCCGCTGAGCCGCCCTCTACACCGCCAGAGCAAGCCGAGGAGCCAGAACCGCAGCCAGGATCTTCACCTGCGAACCAGCGCGCCCAGCATCAGAAGAAGAACCGTCGCCGCAGCTCGGGCATTCCGCCAATGAACTTCAACAACCCAGACGATATCTACTCATCCAGTCCCTTAAGCGGGGCCGACCAAGAAAGCAGCGACTCGGAAGCAGACGATAACGCAACAGAGCAGCTGATTGCGAGTCCGGATGCCGAAGACTCTTCTCAGAGTAGCGCTAGGCTAGATGCTGCGCTGAGACAGGCGTCCACGCTCGCAGGAACACAGAAACTGGATTTTGATGAGGATGGCGACATGACCATGGAAATTGCCGATGACGATGTAACGTCTTCGTTCAAACCTTGGGCAAGAAAGACTGCGATTGCTCAAGACAACCAGGAGAATGTGAACCCCGCTTCACCCGCTGCCACAGTCGCAGAGGACGACCAAGACATGAGCATGGACATTACTCGTGCAGTCGGACGAATTGTTGCTCAACCAGACTCGGATGCGCCGAGCTCTGACATGGACGATAACATGAGCATGGAGCTCACTATGCCGCTGGGCAGCATTCAAGCTATGGCGTCGAATGCTCCAGCAAAGCGAAGGCAGAGTCTAAAGCGCAGGGTCTCTATGATGGATACGTCACAAGGCAGTCCTGCAAAGCGCCCTGTCAATCGCCGTACAAGCCTTAGACAGCGTCGTCAATCCGTAGAGGAGACTGCCGAAGAAGCTACAATGGACTTTACAATGGCAATCGGAGCAATCAAGAGCACTGCTCAACCAGCCCCTGGGAAGCGTGCCAGCACAGAGAGTTTGGTGGAAGATGCGACAATGGACTTTACGTTGGCCATGGGGGGCATCAAGAACGACACCATGCAACCGGCCGATGTAAATGAGGACCTGTCCATGGAGTTCACAAGAATCGTCGGCCCAGGCATCAAACGCTTGGAAAACTCAGCAGTAACACCAGAACAGCCAGTCGCTGCTCAATCTCCAATCTCTGTTGCAAAGACACCAACACCTCGAAAGTCTTCTAGGCACCAAAGTCCTCTGTCGAAGGTGGAAGCTGCACCGTCACCTTTCAGAGATGTGAAGGCGACCCCTACTGAGCACCCTCCTGTAGTGTACCCGACTCTTGATCCTGGTACCCCTGAGATTGTCCGACAGAAAGACATTGAAGACATTGAGCCATCACCATTTGTACGCAGAACTCCGATGAACGCTTCCAAGAGCCAATCCAGCATTACAACACCCAAATCTGCCATCACTACACCGAATAACCGGACGCCTCTCAAGCCGCCAATGGCCATCCCCGATGACCCGGTTACTGCCCCTATACTGAACCGTCGTCGTTCATCTCTATCGGCAGTACAGTTCAGTCCCTTGAATGCTTTGCGTGAGGAACCTACACTTAAGAGCACCGCAGTGCTCTCAAACAACATCAAGCTGCTGTCGACGCCAAGAAAGCAATCTTTGATGTCTCCAGTCAAGCGGGGAATGACGCCCAAGAAATCTCAGACTCCTCAAAAACAGCCTACGCCCAAACAGAAGACTCCTACACCCAAAGCAGCGGCCATATCAAGGAAGAGTTTGAGCCCCCAAAAACGCGTTGTTTTTGGCGAGCAGGCAGTGGAAGAAGAGAAGGCCGAGGAGAACATTGTGGATGACGTTTCAGAGGTTGAGCGTATCTCACTGCAGGAATTCCTTGATATGACAAAGATTCGCTTCATGGATCTTAGTACGACGAAGCGGAGACACACTGCCGCTCCTGCTGCATTTCATGACGTGGAAGTCGAGGAGAAGGAAGAGTCGCTGGATCGTTATGTTGTTGCCGGCGCATGCACCTTGCCAGAATACGAACTTTACCAGCATGCGTGTCACGAGATGAAGAAGTACATCTCTGATGGCCGTCATTTCGTCCGAACAATGGAGGCCAATGTTTTAGAGGAAAATCCATTGCTCTTCAGTGAATACCTAACCGCGCCTCCGGATCAGCGCATCATCATGGACAACCAATTCAAGAATCTGAAGACAAACGCCCGCCTAGAGGCTCGTGGGGAGTGGTACACATGGCGCAGCACTTTGCTACAGGATCTGAAGACTGGACTCCTACACACAATGGATGGTTTCAAGCACGACGAGTCCACCCTCGCCAATCAAGAACAGCTTCTTGATACTGTACTGCCCCCCTTGGCAGAGAAGCACAAGTCGTTGTCAACAGAGTTCCAGCAATTACAGCAGCGTCATGACGAGCTCAATAGCTGCGACCGCGAAGAATTGGAGCAAACACGTGAGCGTCTCGTCGCCACTGATGGAGAAATTGCAGAAAAGAAGCGAGGTCTGGCCCAACTCCAGCAGCAACTTGCTGAGAAGGATTCGCGCATCGAGGCCATCAAGGAGCGCAAAGTGGAGTGCATGGAGGAGATCAAGGCCGCAGAGCGCGTCCGTGAAGAATGTCGTGGGTGGTCTACAAGCGAAGTTCGTGACTTACAAGGTATGTGCTGAAGGTTCAATGTTCTATTAGACTGTTTCCTTGCTGACTTGACCGTAGCCAAAGTGACTGCACTCGAGCAAGCTCATGGATGGAGCATCACCTCGGCCTCATCCACCAGTATCACAATGACCCATCTCAACGACCTCGAGCTCTACTTTCACCCCAATGCCTTCGCCACTGGCGGCAACACTCCCAACCAGTCCATATCTCTCGCCTACGTCGGTGACTCTGCAGCACCTCGTCCCCGCGCCTTGACGACAAGCAAGCGCTTCTTCCTCCAACTTATCCGCGCCCATCTCCACTGTCTCTCACAATCTCACACGCGCATCTCCGCGCTCCTCGCCCTCATTAAAAACGCCTGGGCCACCGCCCTGGCCGTCGCCGAAGGCATCCGCTGGCTCGAGCACAACTACATTACTGAGGAATTCATCCTGTCGGACGAGCGCATGGGTATCGCCGCCAACATGCTTCTCCCCACACTCCAGACCAAAGTCAAGGTCCTTTTCGAACTCACCGTTGGCCTGGGGAAAGAGGGCGTCGAGACGGAGGTGAGTACGCGTGCGGAGGTTGTCTATGGAGAGAAGTATGGAGAAGAGAAGATGAGTGCGTTTTTGAGGGATTTTTGTGGCACCACGGTTAAGCCGATTGAGGGCATGAGCGCTTGGGCCGATGCAATGCAGGATCTGTCTGCGCGGTTGAAGAAGACGGGTAGGAAGGGGGAGAGAAAGTGAGGGTTATCTTTATGAGTGCAAACGTTTACGATGTTATGACGGCGTTGGTCGGGGCTGGGCGTACCTAGATATCGTGGGCATCATGCAAGTCTTTTAACTTTTTTTACTTGGATTCTTGTAACTCGTTCCAATACCATTCATCATCATCTCTCCCAGCAACTAAAATATCCTGCTCCTCCCCCCTTTTAAACTATAAATTGTCCAAGACCCACATATCACATGGGCACCTTCCCCCCCAACCTCTCCCAAAACGCACACCTTTGCTCCAACAACGGGATCCTTCCCGTCTTGAGACCCTCGGGCGTGATTTGAAACTCAAGGCCGCTTGTGATGAAGGGGACGGCGGGGACGGTTGCATTCGTGACTTTGTGGGCGTTTGGGTCGGCAGTTTGGATGAAGGAGGCCATGGCGCCAGCGTAGGCGGTGTAGGTTAGTGGGTCGGTGGTTTGGATTGGGGTGAGGGTGTTCCACTGGGATTTGGGGGTCAGTTGGGGTGGGTTGAGGGGAGGGGAGGGGGATTGAGGGGAGGGGAGGGGGAACAAGGGGAGGGGAGGGGGAACAAGGGGAGGGGAGGGGGAACAAGGGGAGGGGAGGGGGAACAAGGGGAGGGGAGGGGGAACAAGGGGGCACGGGAAGGCGAGAAAGAGATGAAAAAAAAAAAAGTTAAAACGAGGACGAGAAAAACTTACATATTGCACATCACTAGCATGTTTCGCCGGGGAAATCGTATACTGCAGCAACGCGCCCCGCTGCGCCTTCTTCGCAATCCAATACGCAGGACAGGCAAGCACGAGATCCCGATAGATGAATCCAGCGCGTAGATAGGTTGTATTCCACGCAAACACCTCGGTGCGGCCAGCTGCGGGATACAGCGCCTTGACGGCCTGGCGATCGCGCGGCGAGAAATCGGGCAGGTAGCCGCGCAGCCAGGCGTCGAAGGAGGCAGTGGAGCTGTTGAAGCCGTCGGCGGTGCTGCTTGTGCTTGAGGTTGCGTTTTGGAAGCCGGGGGGTATGAAGTTTTCGCCCTCGTGTAGATTGTAGCTTGCCTGGGTGAATTTTGCGTTTAGGGGGTTGGGGTGGCGGAGGAGGGCGGAGAGGGGTTGGGTGAGGAAGGTGGTGTCGAGGACGGGGCCCCAGGTGAAAGTTGCGGTTGTGTATTGTTGGCTGGACGATAGTTTTAACGCGGTCTCGCGGAGGGTTTGGAGGTTGGCGGTTTTGAGACAGCGGATTTCGTCGTCAGCGGTGGTGGTGGTGTTGGCGCAGCCGATGTCGAGGAGGGTCTGTTGGTAGAGAGATTCGGCCCAAGGGCTGTCGTAACGATGGATTTTAGGCCAGAAGGGCGAGCTGACCATTGCTTTTTGGAAGAGATTCTTGCCCCGGTTGCCGGTGGCGATGGTCTGCGCGATGACTGATCCGCCGCCGGCGGATTGACCCCAGATGGTGACATTGTGGTTGTCCCCGCCGAAATGATGGATGTTCTTTTGGATCCATTTAAGTGCTGCTTGTTGGTCTAGGAGGCCGGGGTTGAGATCGACATCAGGGTGTTGGGCAATCTTTTTACCGGGGAGGAATCCAAAGACGTTAGTGCGGTAGTTGGAGTAGACGACTACGTAGTCATTCTGTGTGCTGACGTTCAGAACGGGGAAGCCAGAGGGTGGCATGTCAAAGCTGGCGCTCCCACGAATGAAGCCGCCGCCGTAAAAGGTGAGCAGCACAGGACGAAGGGATTGGGCTTTGGTCCAGGGTCGCGAGTATACGCCGAGATAAAGGCAGTCTTCTGAGCCGTTGACTGTACGCTGTGGACACATGTCGAAGGCTTGATTTGAGTCGTATGTACCATTTGTGATGGGAGCTGGTGGTTGAGGAGCGCGGAAGCGGTTGTGACCTGCTGTGGATGCGCCAAAGGGGATTTTGCGGAAGTAGGTGAGATTGTATTTAGTTGATACTGCGCCTTGGAAGGTGCCGTAGTCGAGTGTGACCAGAGGATTCGACGTGTCCTGTGGCGTTGGCGAGGCTGCTACAATGGCTGCCAGGCTCAACATCTGATGGAGCTTGGGAAGAAGCATTTTGGCGTTTCAAAGAAGTCACAATCACAAACCAGGAAGAAGGGCCCAGACGCCCACGGTATATACATGTTCGATCTCTCGCCACTGAATCGCCAATTAGCCCCAAGACCCCATATTCCGCTTACCCACTCTCCAATCATCCATCCCGCAGAGACATGGCAGGCAGCTTGCCATTACTCCACGATACCCCCGTTCCCGGTTTGCGGGGAGTTGAGGACCCGCAAGAATAGGAACAAGCCAGACGCAAGCACATCACAGCGACCTGTGTGAAGCTTCATTTCGGTGAAATAGCCGCCGAGCCTTTGAAGGGCTACCTCGTAAAAGTCACAACAATCTCGGTAGTCTCCCCATCTGCAATGTCTCCGGACGTCAAGATTGACCGAGGCGACTTTGACGTCTGGAAAGGGGTTAGCGGTTGGCAGGTCTCGCTTCGAGTTGCAAGCAGGCACGTGATATGCCATGGCTTGGCTTCGGCCAAACCCGTCGAATGTCGCAACATGTGGGCAGAGTGATTGGAGAATGGCGAATCCTGCGGTGCGCTTTCTTGGCTCTTGTTGACTTGACGTCTTTTTTACTTTTACATCGCTATCGTCTTGAACAATGATTATAACTCTCCTCTTCCATCGCAGGTCGACTGACATGAGCGATGCCTCTGCATTCTATCATCAGTTCACTGCGCGCGCAGACGCGAAGGAGGCGCGGCGATGCGCTACAGGCTAACACGGAGAAGCTGGGATGGCGACTGGCAGATGTGTTTGTGAGCATGTGGGATCTGGGCTTCACCGCGTTTGGAGGACCGCCTGTGCACTTCCAGATTCTGCATCGTAGATTTGTGGATGGCGCGGGCCACGTGGGAAGTAAATGGATTGATGAGCAGACTGTGAGTATATTCATGACTATTCTAATAAGACCATCCACTTGTCTTCGAGTTTGCTCATGGCAGTTTTAGTACCAGGAACTCTTTGCAATATGCCAGGCCCTGCCTGGTCCTGGTTCCACCAAAATGGTGTTTTGCATCGCCATGCTACACGCAGGTCTGGGTGCTGCAGTCTTTGCATTCTTACTCTGGAGTCTCCCTGGTGCAATCGGCATGTACGGTCTATCACTTGGTGTGCAGAAGATGCCTGATCGCCTACCTCCAACAGTGTACGCTCTGTTGACTGGCATGAATGCGAGTACGGTAGGCATCATTGCATTAGCCGCCGTGCAATTGTCCGAGAAAGCCATCAAGGACCGTCTCACCAGAATCCTCGTCATATTTGGTGCTTGTGCGGGACTTTGCTACAACGCACTGTGGTACTTCCCCGTTTTGATTGCCATCGGTGGGGTAATAACAGTGCTTTGGGACGTATGGCTGAAGCAGAGCATTGGCAAAGCTCGGGCGCGTTATGCAGCAAAGAGGAGGAGAGCCAGGAATGAAGATGGCCATTTGGAGGAGATACCTGCAACTCAAAATATCCCATCGCAGGTCCAGCGGCCAGAGGCTGTTAAAAGACGAGCTCAGGCGGCAACTTCAAGAGACCAAATTCTCGAAGACCAAGAGCAAGCGGAATCTAGTCGTCGTAACGATGGACACAGTGAGGGAAACGCACCAAGTACGATTAGTACGCCAACAGCAGACATCAGAACACACAACATCTCAGTCAAAGTTGGACTATCGCTCATCGCAGCCTTCTTTGGTACGTCTATCCAGCTTGCATCCCTCCCTCCGATCTAACAGCCCGCAGCATCTTTCATAATCGTCATGACAGTCCGCGGCACTGTGTCTCCCCGGCCCCTCTCCTTCGACCTCTTCTCCAACATGTACCTAGCCGGCACCATCATCTTCGGAGGCGGCCCTGTCGTCATCCCACTGCTACGATCTTATGTCGTCGACCCAGGATGGGTTTCACCTCGCGACTTCCTCCTCGGCCTCGCCATCATCCAGGCCTTTCCCGGCCCCAACTTCAACTTCTCAGTCTACCTCGGCGCCCTCACCCTCGCTTCCACAGGAATCCCAACCGTTTTTGGCGCGCTACTCGCATTTTTGGGCATCTTTGCACCCGGGATTATCATCGCGGTCGGCGTGCAAAGTATCTGGCAGGTTGTGAGGACAAAGCCGTGGGTGTTGAGCTTGCTGCGAGGGATTAATGCTACTGCTGTTGGGCTGGTGTTTACCGCTGTTTATAGGCTTTGGGAGATTGGCTATTTGACCCCGGAGAGTAGCGATGGGAAGAGCTTGGCTGAGGAGCCTTGGTGGGTCGTTGTTGCGGCACTTACGTATGCGGAGACGGCGTGGTTTGATGTCCCGCCAGCCGTGGCGATTATTATTGGTTCGGTGCTTGGACTGGGGTGGTACGGTGCTGTTGGGCGTTGATGCGGAGGAGAAAATATGGTTAGTGATGGGATGGGTGATCACGATGTTTCGCGATTCGCCAAAAGCTGTTTCATTATACTCGCTTGAGTTGTCCGTTAGCTGTAACAATGCGTATAACTTTGATTTAGTTTGCCTCTGAAGTAATACAAGGAGTATATCAGCACATCACGTTGACTCGGTATTTCCAAATCTACAATTACGCAGCAAATGCCATCTCATGCATTTCTCATCCCTAACCACAACATTCTCCCTCCTTAACTACCCAGAGCAAACCTGCAAACCCTTCCAAAGATCGCCCACGCCTTCGGATTTTCTTCTGTAGCAGGGCATGAGACAATAGCTTTGATATACTGAAATGGTACCTAAGACCTGATATTGAAACCGAGACTGACGTCAAACATTGACATATCAAAAACCACCGCAGATCAAACCCAGCTCAGCACCTCCAACCCCGTCCCAGCCCACCAAACCTCACGCCGCACACCCCATCACCCACCCCAGCACACAGCCGCACCTCTGCATTTAGCCGCCACCACATTCCACCCCACAAAACCTCTACAATTGATATTTTATATTGCAGCATAAATACGATCGCCACTGCACACACCCTATGGCGAGGAAAGAAAAACTTGATTGTGGGTTTAATTTCCGGCATTTGTGGATTTAGCCACCGTGTTGATGAGGTGGGTGAGGTTGTGCATGCGCTTGTGGTATTTTTGGCTCCCAGGTGTGATGAGAGTGGAGGAGAGGGCTGCTTGTGTTAATGCTCTGGTGGTGAGGGTTGGGGTGGGTCGGTGGGATGGTTGATGTATCGTATGGTATTGCGTGCAGGCGAGGTGTTAAAGATGATTTTTTTTTGGCACTGGCAAGATGTTACAGGTGAGTTGGGGAAGAGGGAGAGGGAGAGGCTGGAGCCCTAGTGACTGAGACTATGTTTGCATGGTTGTTTGCAAATCTGCGGCTTTCGGATGTGCAAGTGTAATTTGGTACTGATTCAGAGGTGAAGATCTTCTGGGTAAGTTCAGGGATCACGACGATATTGCTTTCATGGCTGGGACTTGCCTGGAAGCTTCGGTAGACCTGGGCATAGTGTGCATGTTCCGTCAAGAGGCTCTATCGCGGAGAATTATCACTGTCAATCTCCTCGTGGTTGGAGACAGTTTACACATGGCTGTTACGAAGCTCCTCCTACCAGTGGGTAACACCAGACGTCACTTTCTTACACTCGTCTGCCGGAGGGCAGATTTGTCTGGAAACACGCAGTGACTCAAATGTCTCAAGCCCAAAGGGTGTACATTGCTATCTCGCATTCATCACACCGAGTCCGGGCATAGAAAAGTCCAAGACCTTTGATTCCTCAGGTCAATCAACCACGGAATACCACTGCCACCCAACTCAAAGCTGACATTAAGCTGACGTTTGACCTGATCAAGTCTTCGACAGTTCAGGTTGCCAAGTGCCTTGGGCCATTACTCAGTATGAACGCCATGCCTCCATCATCACCAGTGCACTCTGACGACCGGCAAAAAACGCCTCCTCATCAAGAATTCGGGAAGTCTGATGATCGAGATATCTACGGTGATTTGACTAGAGTGATTCTACTACACAGCAGCGACTGACGGCATAAGGCAGTCGAGAGCACCCGTAGATCATCTGCGTCTCATATACGGTGGGTCTCTCAATATCGCGACCCAAGCTGCTGCATCCAATGATCGCAGAACATATATTACCCCCCATTACTCGGAATCTCTCCTCGATCAAGGACGTTTCCCCCTTGTGGTACCGGCAGTTGTCCTCGTGGACAGGCTTTGATTTGACAGTGGTCTTGGGGTTTTCTGGTCACTTGCTGGTTGTTATAAGAGATCCCCGTGTATACATGGTTCTTTGGTTTCTTTTCTCTGCTTGTCACTCTCCCATTCATTGAACTTTTTTCTCTCTTCGTAAACGTTGAGGTAGTACCTACCATCTGACAGTCTTTGAGTAACACCCCTTCCCTCCCTGAGCACCTTCACGATGAAGTGGACAACAGCTATTACCACAGCTGCGGCACTGGCGCAGAATGCCGCTGCGCAGAATATGCTGCGGTTTGCGTGTTCGCAACTTGTTGTGGAGCGGACAGATCCCCTGGTGAATCCTGGGATGAAGTACACGCCCCATCTTCATCAGATTGTGGGCGGAGATTCCTTCAACATCACCATGGATCCGGCGAACGACCCGGCGAAGCTGTCCAAGTGTACATCTTGCAGCTTCAACCAGGACAAATCAAACTACTGGACTGCAGTCATGTTCTTCAAAGCAAAGAATGGAACATACATCCGCGTGCCCCAGGTAACTTGCCACCATTCCCCCTTCCTTTCTGCACCCTCTCGCTCTCCAACCCACTCCTCCTAACACAAAACCCCAGATCGGCAACGGTGGACCCCAAGGCAAACTCATCAACGACGGTGGCCTAGACGTCTACTACATCCCCAGCGGCAAAACCACCGCCTTCAAAAAAGGCTTCCGCATGCTCGCCGGCTCCGCCACAAACACAGACCCCTCCAAAGTACAACTCTCAAACATCTGTCATCGCTGCTGGACCTCGCCCTCGGAATCCACGTTTGTCGGCGGCGCCCCTTGCACGGGCTCTGATACCGTGAATATCCCTAAAGACCCCAAGTGCAAACTCATTCGCCAGACTATCATCTTCCCGACCTGCTGGGATGGCAAGAATCTCGACTCGCCCGACCATCAGAGCCATGTTGCTTATGGACAGGGGAGTGGGGCGAATGGAGGTGGTGCGTGTCCGAGCAGTCACCCTGTGAAGTTGCCGCAGGTCATGTACGAGTTGATGTGGGACGTCAACAAGTTTGCCGACAAGAATCTTTGGCCGACCGACGGTTCGGATCCGTTTGTTTACTCCATGAACATTGGGTATGTTAATTTTCTTCTTTCCCTTCCTACGCTGCAACTGGCGTCGAGCCGCGTATAACGCTAG